GTGTAATGGAAATTGTCCTGTGCGCAGATGGAAATATCCATATTTTGGGATTTGGTCTGACATCTGGATCAAGTTCAGAATAATATCTTTATTAGTAAAGGCTTGTTCAGATATGGCGAGGTAAACCACTGCAAAAAAGCTGCCATTTCTATTTAAAAAAAATGTTTAAATGAATTGTAACAACGTGCAACAAAGGACTTGCCTCTGTGTTATAAGATCCAGAAATGTGATGCATATTTAATGCCATTAATCTATCGACAACAACAAAATCGCAGCTGCATCATATCTGAATGAGCCTTAACACACCATGGTCATATTCACAGCAAATGTTACAATGTTACAAATAATAATGAATTAAAGGGACAAGTTACATCTTCATTTATATTTTGGATTTTTTTTCAGTAAATAAACAAGTTTATCATCCTTGAGATGAAATTGAATTTTTGCTCTCATCCCTTAATTATGTGTTCTGTTCTGTAATTTATTTCTTAAAGCATTTATTGAGATTGAATTTCGTATTATGGTGTTATTACACTTGTTTTATATGTATGACATTGAATCTTATTTGTTAAAGTTTATCATCAGTTTCAATTTAAAACAAAAACACACCACAAATTTAGTTTTATTTTATTTGAACACACAAGCTGGATTTAATAGGGATGGGAGACAATGGCGATCGATTACTCAATACTATTAACATTACCGTAACTTGTTTCACATAAAGGTAAGAGCAACATTTTGTCGATTTTATTAGTTGGAAAATCAATCAATGTAGCGAATGGTATTGAATGAAAACACATTAAATTGAAATAGAATCGCAGAGGCTTGCAAGAAATCCACTCGGGGGCAACCATGTCAATATCCTATCGTATTGCATAGGAATAATGTTTGAGTCTCGTCGGAGGTGATGTAAGGTCGACACATTACTTTATACCATGCTGTGGACTATTGAAATTGCCCTAGATCGGATTGGATTTCTTGGAAGTCAGTACAAGATCGTGCAAATTTTACTTTCATATAATGGTGCAAGAGTAGATATGACAAAATCACTGCAAAGGAGAAGGAGGCACATTTGTCTAGTTGTTTAAACCCACCAGCAGAGGCGTCACATGAAGATTCCAAGGGGATATGATGGTGTTGAAATGAAAATATTACCAACTATTAAGCAAAATGAATATCATAACCCCCCCAAAAAAAAATAAAAAAATAAAAATAAAAATAAAATAAAAAATAAAACCAAGATATATAGCCTTTGTCAATAATGGGTAAAAGAAGGTTCTTAGACTTTAGACTTGCCGAAATGGGTTAAAACAAGTACTCCTAAAAAAATGAAAAACAGGGATGTAACAGTCCTCCCCCCCTCCCCCCTCCTCTCTTTGCATGTTGACGCCTCTGTCCATTGATTTTAGTAGTAGCATCAGGTAGTGCTATAGACTTTGTGCTTATATTTAGCATTTTTAGAGTATGAATATACCACTTCTATACACCAAATGAATATGAAAAATGTGTTAAATGTTGTACAAAATGTAGACCTATAATAGAATTACTTTACTTAACCAAAGGCTTCAACCTTCTGTACCGATGGTTGTTCACAGTGGTGTAGCAGTAACGCCAGTTAATCTCGTTGATTTACCAATAGTGCCATACGATTTTGTGTTTACATTCAGCATGTTTAGAGTACGAATATACCACTACCATTATTCATTTATTTATTCAATTCAGTTTTGAAAAAGACTGCTGCCATTGAGGGCCCTGGATATAAACAAAATAAACAAATATATACACAAACATCATCCAAAATATACATAATAGACAATTGCAATGTAGAACTTACAAGAGACAGAAAAGTATTTACAACAAATTAAAGCACACACGTACATCAATATGCAAGAATTTAATTTCAAATGGCTTATACTTATGAAGTGAATTGAAGAGAGAAACTGATGGAAGTAAAAATAGAAGGTTGGATATTCAAGAAAAAAAAAAAGTGCTAGGAGAGGATGTAGGCAAAAAGGGAGAGAAAAACGACGGAAAGAGATTGAGTGGTAGAAAACAAAGAGAAAGGCAGGATAAGGAGAATTCAAGAAGTTGAGAATTGGAAAGAAGATAATAACCTATAAAAAAAGTGGATGTAAAAACCACATAAAATAATACAGTAAGCTCAAAAAACTATAAAACGTAACGCGAAAACTAAAGGCAGTGATAGGATCTGTGTGAATCGAAAAGGGCAACATGAACTAATTTCCAAAGGAGTCCTTGTATGTTAAAGTCACTGTACAGCAACTGATAAGAAAACATACAAAAAGTTGTACTAAAAATGTAGACCTAGTACAAGAAAATGTCAGGATATATTTCAATAGATATTTGAAATAGTAATTTGGATTAATATTTGTTGTCAAGTGTGGTCTGAGGCCACCGCCACTTCAAAATATTCCATAGTGACGCAAATGCCTGCACCTATATATATATGCTCACAAAACAAACTACCATCAAAAAACACTCTTCGGCGGTTTTCTGTTTTTCTTCTGTCGCTCAATATTTACGATGGCGACGTCTCGTCTCGACGCGTCGCAGCGATGCAGTGCTGTTTTGAGAAACTTCAAAAATTCGACGCTCTTCTTCTTGTTTTCGATTGATTTTGTGCAGTTTTCAAAGAACCACACTTCGTCGCAATGGGTTGTGAAGCTCTCCTTAAGATCTCTCTTGTCTTCTGTCGACAAGCTATCGGCGTGAGTAATGACCAACATCGGTGGATAACCTGCAAATTTTATACAGAAAAAGTAATTAATTTATTACTGATTTAATTATTTATAATTCATGTAGAAATAATTATTAAAGAGTGATGGTAGATACCATTTCTCTTGGAACTCATGTCTATCTCTCTTAATGATGGGAACTTAAAATCATTTAACTTACCCCATGTAACCAAAACTATTTGCCAAACATTTTGATCTGAAAGTAAGATCTCATGAAATTATAATTATGCTACTTTTTCTTTTTAATTTTGCTCTAATATAGTAACGATTATCCCATTTGTTCCAACATATGAATGATTCATGTAAATTGTTCCAAATTTATTATTCGGGAGGATCTTTTCTTCTTGAAAGACTTTTAATATGCTATCCTTGATTAATTTTGTGAAGTGCCCAAAGGTAGAAGGCGCATAGAAGAAAAACAGAAATTAGTTATATTTTAGTAGATATTACAAACGAAAGAGTCGATTTTTAATACGTCACAATAAATTGACCAATTGTCATTGTGAGATTCTTATATTTGTTAGTGATTTCATATAACACCCATATTTTTCCTGTCATTTAAACGCTCATTCATTTAAAACTTTCGCCATTCTCTTGAACTATTATATTTCCGCTTTCATACCATCAAATAAATTTAGTAAAATGGTTAAATGCCATGTAATGCCATAGTGGGACTCCGATCCACAGGACTGCAAATATTCAGATCCATGGGCAAAAACCATAACAATAATAGACTTTGAACGATGCGTTTTTAAGTCTTCACATCATCATGGAATTCACCCAATACGATACCTACCAATATTCTCTTGAAGTTTTGTTGCAAACTCGGAAAGAAACTTCACAGCTGCTTCCTTCTTGATAGAGTCACTGAAAAAGATTTTTGAAAGGTGATCGTGATATCTCTTGTTTAAATAACTAATGAAGAATCATTCAAGTTTCTCATAGGGTAAATTTCAGTCAAAATGTACTCTTTACTACTATACAAATTTATTTTAATGAACATTTATTAAGTCAATTGCGACTCGTTTCCCGAGTAATGATTGCCAAAACTCGTACCTCGAAGTATAAGATAATTAAAAACTAACTTCGGTTTTTGACAAATAGATCCCTCGTTGTGAAACTGAAGAGGGGTACAGTGTTGACAGATATACCATCAATATTTTGGAGTATACTACCAAGGCATAGAGCAATATTATGGGCATGCTGATAACTGGCTTCTTACTTAACCTAATTACGAACCACATGGAGAAGTAAATATGTGAATTCGGAATTAAGAATCATCGGTTTTAAATCTTTTTCCATACTTACCTGTGTTTATAGACAAACACAGCGCAATCAATTATTTCCTCATCAAGAAGACACCAAGTAGCATCTGATGAACCTTCTTCTTCTTTCTTGTCACCTATTTTAAGTGAAATAGTAGAAGTAGCAGCAGCAATAGAAGTAGTAGTAGTAGTAGTAGTAGTAGTAGTAGTAGTAGAAGTAGTAGTAGTAGTAGTAGTAGTAGTAGTAGTAGTAGGAGTAGCAGTAGTAGTAAAACAAAGATAATAGGGGCACTTATGAAAAGGGGAATGGGCTCTTTTTTGTTTAAATGGGTGCACTTATCATTGGGAAAAGGGGCACATATGTATTTTTTTTTAAAGAAGAAAAAAAAAGGTGCGCTTATCCGAGGGGCACCTCTCAGATTTGAATAGAGCAATTATCAAAAGTGAATAGGGGCACTTTTCGTACCTGGAAGGGGCCCTTGCAAGAGATTTCAAATAGTATTTATGAGAATTGAAAATGAACACTTATTGCAAATGAAAATGGAAACTTGTTGAAGGAAAAGGGGCACGTGTCAAATTAAAAGGGTGCTTATCAGAGGTGAAAAGAGGAAGGGGCAATTTTGGGGTACTTCAAAAAGTGGGGGGCACTGTGAACATAACTATTGTAGTGCATACACAACAATGAGTTTAAGTAGTTTCTAAGTTTAGTCGCCCAACCCTAATTAAGTCAACTATAAGGCGGGTATCTTCAATTCCTGTGTATATATATATATGCAGAACTTTTAGACGTTGTCTTGACAGGTTTCAACTAAACTGAATATTACTTCTAACTTTTTTTTTTTCTATTCAGAAACCCCAAAATACTCAAGCAATATTGAATAACGAATGTTATTTACTTACTGATTTCATTCATAAACCGGTCCACATATGACAAATCAAAATCTTTCATGCCGCGATTGTCGAACAGATGAATATTGGAGGTGAGATGAAGACAGCTTCGAGGCATGGTGTCTCCTCCAGTTATATCTCCCGTTGATCTAGTAGGCTGGCTTCGCTCGCCTTCACAAATAATGGGGAAACATATCAGAAAAATACAGTGAGTCAGTATCGAACTGACAATACGTTTTAGGTTTACGAGGGGGAGCTGGGGACGGCAACGAAATATCTAGCAAATGTAGGATTATATGAATCGGGTTCCCTTCTAATTTGCGGCTTATTTTGACATTGAATTTACGTGTTAAAAAATGGAAGATCGTAATATCACCTTTGTATGCGAACTCAATAGAATTGATGAATGAAGACTTCCCAGCTCCCATCTCACCAAAAACACCGATGTGCGCTGCTGCTCTTTCATTTTCCGTTTCGGGTGTTTTGAAAGTGTATGTCTTTATTTTTTGTCGAAGACCTTTCAATTTACCTGCGAAGAAAACGACACATATCGTAAGATTATGATTACAACAAAAAATACCAATAGTTTAGCAATCAGTGTCGCCTTCATACACATTACGTTATTCAATATGACGTATTCATTCACAAACATACAGTCGAGAAAGTTAGCTTGAGCCAGAGGCTTAGACCGAGTTTCACCTTTCTCCAACCCAAATTTATCACACAACACGTGTCGTGTAAAGCATACACCCTTCATATACATGGAGCAGAATAATGATATAAATCATTAACGTGAACTTCGCCCCTCAAATAATCTCTTTCGATAATCATTAAAACATTATGGGCGACTGTTTCCAAAAATTACCGAACCTGCTGCCGAAGCCTTTATGTTTAAAAAAAAGTAGACAAAAGGAGCCAATAAGGTATTGATTGAAACATACACAAGCCCGTATCATTTCTACATGTTTACAATTAGAGTGTGATTAATGTCGAATGATTGATAAGTTTAAGGCGATAATTACCTGATGAACTTTTTTGCCCTACCGTACAGTTTAATGCACAGCACCTGCACTGGATATTGTCACGAGGATCTCTTGATCTTCCTTTACTCTCTAGATAAAGTTATATAATAGCATATTCTCCGAACCACAGTTGAGTCGCTGTGACGGAAGCAAAGTGGACTAACCGACATATTGATAAAACTAAGATGTATATATTACAATATGCATATTCATTTAATACATATATTACACTAAATTTAACGGTCTTTGCATTTTCTGATAATAATGACATTATCAGGATTGTACTCTCACGCAATCTATTTCATGTTTTTAGGAAGTTTACATTTTGATGTTTAATCTTTAAACCGTGTTTATTGACATTGCGGGGTGATCTACTTTGCCTATCAGGACCTTGGTTTACAGGCCTACCTCGTTTGTGAAGAACCACTCCTGACAGAATTAGAGCAATCAACATGGAGCCCCCGAATACAACAAAGGTGGTCTTTGCCCCAGTAGACACCCCTTGACCTGTAATCATGAAGAAAAGCATCTTTTCATAGAGTATGATAATGATAGTTCAGGTAATAATATCAAATCTTCATTAAGTACATCATCGGCTTGTCTACATAATTACAAATAATAATTCAATGAATCCACCACTTTTCCTTCCTGACTACCAACTTCACGTTCTCTCTTTTGTTATAAAGTGGTAACAAAATATCTCCTTTGAAATCCGATTAAGTGTATAGAAGCTGAAAAGATTGATTGAACTTGAAACTGATGGGGCAAAGAACATAACATACAGGTAAGCAAATACAAGCAAGATAAATTGGAAACACTAAACGTGACATCTTGAATTTAGAAGGAGATGACGATTTCCTAATTCGATGTTAAGCCCCCATCACACCAAACTAGTTCTCACTACGTTCTGGAACCATCGTAGAAAATCGTTAAACGGGTTGTGGTCGGGGTAGAATGTTTAAATAATGTCTATAACACGATCCTAGTTCGTTCATAAACAGTCCTCAATACGTCCTTCTCGTCTGTACCCTGTCCACAGTCAGTTCATATCGAGTTCAGATCGGGTAAATTTGCAATTTCCAGGCAGTCCAAGCCAGTCCGTACTCAGTTTAAACTCGTTATTAACTAGTTCTACCTCGATCCCTATACGACCAAACACATTCTAATTAGTTCAGAGACAGTTCAGCTCGTCCTCATCTCGTTCTTAGTGCGTTCGAACGCGATCCTAGAGCGTGTGCAATCACGTCCCGGCTCAAGGGTTATAAAACCCCAGAGCGTTAATTCTTGCCATTCCTTATTCCCGTTTAACTCCAACTCTTCAAACGGTGCAAAACAAGACATTCAAGTGAAGCCCCCATCACACCGAACAAATTCTCACTACGTTCTGTAAAATGTTGCAAAAACGGGCTCAAACTGAGTGCGAACGGAGCGAACGTAGGATCAACTGTTTGCGATCTGTTTAAGAACTTCTTGAACGGGCTCAGACTGGCTTGGACGGGAAGGGTGCTCTCGAACTTTGGGCCTGTTCAAAAATTTCCGAGTCCTGCAATTAGACGGGCTCACCCTTACAAAAAAAATCTATGATATTCCTATGGTACGGCTCTATGGTGAATGGTATTTCTATGATATATTATATGGTAGAATATATTTCTATGGTATACCACACAATTGCTGAATGGTGGAGTTCTATGGTCAATGGTATATCATTGATGCCGTCCTATGGTGTATGGTATTTCTATGATATATTATATGGTAGACTATATTTCTATGGTATTTCTGTTGAATGGTATCCCTATGGTGGAGGATATTTCAGTGGTAGCTCTATGGTAGATGATGACTTTATGGTATATCTATGGTGGTTATGTGACTCTATGGTGGCTCTACAGTGAATGGTAGATCTATGGTAGCTCTATGGTGGCTGTATGGTGTATGGTATTTCTACGGTATGTTATATGGTAGAATATATTTCTATGGTATTTCTGTTGAATGGTATCCCTATGGTGGAGGATATTTCAGTGGTAGCTCTATGGTAGATGATGACTTTATGGTATATCTATGGTGGTTATGTGACTCTATGGTGGCTCTAAAGTGAATGGTAGATCTATGGTAGCTCTATGGTGGCTGTATGGTATATGGTATTTCTACGGTATGTTATATGGTAGAATATATTTCTATGGTATTTCTGTTGAATGGTATCCCTATGGTGGAGGATATTTCAGTGGTAGCTCTATGGTGGATGATGACTTTATGGTATATCTATGGTGGTTATGTGACTCTATGGTGGCTCTAAAGTGAATGGTAGATCTATGGTAGCTCTATGGTGGCTGTATGGTGTATGGTATTTCTACGGTATGTTGTATGGTAGAATATATTTCTATGGTATTTCTGTTGAATGGTATATCCCTGTGGTGTAAGATATTTTAGCAGTAGCTCTATGGTGGATGATGACTTTATGATATATTTCTAGTGGTTAGTGACTCCATGGTGGCTCTAACGTGGCACTTTTTTACATAAAAAGGGCCCCTTTACTTTAAAAAGTTTTTTTTAAAGTGCCCCTTTACCTTCGATAAGTTCCGGTTTTCCTTTGCAATAAGTGTCCATTTTCCATTCTCATAAGTGCCCTTTTTCCATCTCTAGTAAGTGCCCTCTTTCAGATACGAGAAGTGCCCCTTTTCACTTTTGATAAGTGCCCCATTCACCTCTGATAATTTCCCTATTCAAATCTGAGAGGGGCCTTTCCCCTTTTAATAACTACCCCTTGTTTAACTTGGATAAGCGCACCTTATATTTTCACATGTGCCCCCTTTCCTTTCTAACAAGTGCCCCCATTTAAAAGAGAGCCCCTTCCCTTTATCATAAATGCCCCCTTTTCATCTATGAAAACAGTTACTTTTCATTCTTAAGTCCCTCTTCATTCTCATAGTCCCGTTCCATCTCTAGTAAATGACCCTATTAAATTCTGAGAGGTACTCGTTTTATTTTGACAAGTGTCCCTTTTCCTCCTGATAAGTGCTCTTTTCATCTTCAATAACTGCCCCTTTTATTTTGCCCCATTTAAAAGAGAGCCCCTTCCCTTTATCATAAATGCCCCCTTCCCTTCCTAATAAATGCTCTTTTTCCTTCTTTTAAGTGCCCCATCCTCTTCCCATAATTACCCCCTTTTCATCTCTCATAAGTGCCCCGTTTATCTTGACATGTGCCTCTTTTCTTTTTAATAATAGCCTGCACTTCCCCTTCTCATAAATCCCCCCTTCCCCTCGTATTAAATGCCCCTATTAAAAACTGATCGGTGCCCCTTTTCGTACAACAAATGAACATTTCCCCTTATTATTAGTGCCCCTAGCTTTTTCATTCTCATAAGTGCCCCTTTTCTTTTCACCTCAGATAATTACCCTTTAACAATGATACGTGCCCCATTTTCACCTTCTGATAATTACCCGTTGTAATTTGACATGTGCTCCTTTTTTTTTCTTATAAGTGTCACCCTTTTCGATAAGTGTCCCCTTTTCCTCTCATCACGTGCCCCTAATTTCCAGCTACTAAGAGCAATATCACCCAAAGCACACTCGCATTTCTAGATGTTATAATTATGGTACTTATCAAAGGTCTTTTCAGTCTTCTGTTATGATAATGTAATAAACCCATCAGGATTGGGTTTTTCTTCTTTATAATTGATGTAATTTTTTCGCACTGCGACCTCACAAATCTTATTTATAAAGATAAAAAAAAATATTTAAATCATCCCTGATAATGTAATCACAATATAGGGGGTATATACAATTTTTTTTTTTTTAAATATATATTTTCGCTTTGAGATTTCCCTTTGTAGGTGCCCTATTCATTTTCTCCAGAAAGTGCCCTTTTTGTTGGTGCCCCCCCCCCCCCGGCCCCCCCCCCCCCCCCACTTTGGAAGTCGCTCCACTGCCTCTGTTTGCGCTCAATTAGTCTCAATCAATTAAAAAAAAATCATTAAATAAAAAATTCTAAACCAAATTGTAACAAGTAATGTATATCAGCAGAAAGTAGATAACAAGGGCTGTTTGCTGCCACCTTGTGCCCAAGATTTGAATAACTCTTCTAGCCGTTGGTCTCCAATTTCTACTCACTGAAAATGCTTCGCAAAACTCCAAAATATGTGAGGAAGAGGAAGGTGTTCAAAGGAGATCAATACCAGATATTACAGAAGAGTAACACGAATGCTGGAGAGGTGCCAGAAGAACTAACAGCTAATTCAGAGATCGAGGAAGCTTTCCCTGAATAAGTGTTTGGACAGCCCTATTTTTGGCCCTGGTCCCACATGTGAAGATCCGCGTCATTAGTGGCCCACAACTTGCAGCTGCTTTGCAAAAGGCTCACGTGTGTCTGGGAGGTATGTACTTACTATCAAACAATATTTTTAGTTTGCAAACTGTTACTTTGAGATTGTATTGCATGCTCAAGGGGTGAATGACTCAAAAAGCCAAATCAAATGATTAAGAATAGAGTAAAGACTAAAGGAGGGGGTAATCGACCATCACCAGTTTTCGACCGATCCGTTGGATGCATGGTAAAATCCCTTTAAAATCCATCGCATAACAGCTAGCATATATCATATATCCCACACATACCATACCATGCCAGAGTCACTGAAGAACCACATTTGCAATGGAAAATATATTCTAAAATATCACAATTTAGCGATGTAATCGGCGGTCCCGCTCCCCGAATCTGAAAAATTAAAAGTATCTTACGCGTGTAAGGAATATGGGTACCCTAAAATGAGCTTTATTTCAAGTATTTTTCAGATTTAGAGTTCGATTTTGTGTGAGTCGCAAGCTCAAAAGTATCTCATCGCATGTATTTAATCAATGCAGCCGGATACCGCAGCGCACACACAATATCTCTGTCTAATTCAGATTCCAATTTCTGATCACCGCAGAGGTAGTTTTCGGCACGCGAAGCTCCGGCTTGGGATACCTGCTCCGGCCGCTAGTGCTATAGATCAGTGGAGAAACGCATGGCGCGCTTGCTTGCTTCCTATCGACTTTGTACATGCGGCCGAAAACTGCCTCGCTAGGCCGAAAACTACCTCCGAAACAGTGAAAATGGAAATGAATGTTGTCATAGCAATTCATGATTTTTTTTCTGGGATTCTTTCTTTGTTTAAATAATAATAGTATTTGCTTCATGATTTGAACAAGAAATGATAATAAATAGGAAGTAAAGAGTCCAAAAAATAGGATTTTGTCTTAAGTGGCCGAAAAACCGCTCCTTTACTCTATGGTGAATCGAAGTGGGGGCATCGGAATTGTCGTGAAATCTGTGAAAATGTGTATTTGTGTAATATACTACATGTATTTCATAACTAGCACTTTGTTATTATTTGGGGATTGTGCTTTTCAAAATATTTTCCCTGTTCCATAAAGTGTTTTGGATTTCTTTTACAGGGCATCTCATTCCTCTGGAGAATTTGTCAAAGAGGAATGGGTTGAACTGCACCATGGTCCTTGGTT